TGGCGACGCACGCACACGCACCCGGTGTGAGTTTTAAGCCACCGGTCCGGGATGCGAACCGCGGTCGACTATGGGAGTCCAGCGACATAGCCATTACGCTAACTGCTGATTCCCAGAGGAATATATTTCAAGGCCTTTGCCCTGAACTATGATTGAACTCTGTTATAATACCCCAGGATTATTCATACATTCATTTATTGAGCAACTGTTATATCCCAAAGCTTGGTGCTGGGAAGCAATTCACTATTCTGCTCAGTTAGAGATTCAATGCAATTTGTGATAAATGCTACAATGGAGTTATGGAGGCACAGGTGAGGGAAAACTCACTTAAGCTAAGGAAGAAGGGAGGCTAGACACAGTGAGAGAAGGGAAGCTATGAGAATGTTGCAAAGTTTGAAAGAAAATACTGCACATTCTGAGAATGGCATGCAGGTCATGATTACTGGTGTGAAGGGGCTCGCAGGTGTGGAGGTGACAACACTCAAGTCAGAGAAACAGGAACAGATCTGGAAGAGCCTTGACAACCAGGCTCAGGGAGCACAGTTGATCCAGGAGGCCATGGGGAGCCACAGGTGGATTTTAAACTCATTTAGATACATCCTTCTTAACAGTACCATGAATGGAATAGAAGATCTAAGCCTTGAGGCTAAGATACCTATAAGGAAGATACAGTCCAAGAACGTGTTGAGGCGGTGAACCAGAACATTGCCAGTGGAGGTAGAAGAAGGAAATGCATTCTAAAGACCTTCAGGAGGGAAAGGGGACAGGCTCTGATGACAGAGAGAGAGAGGACTGCAGGCAGACTCTGTTAGAGCTAAGCAACTTGAAGGTGTTCGCTGAGGTACAGGACAAGAGGAAGCGTAGGCTTTGGTGAAGATGGTGAGCTTAGGACTCTGCTGCAGAAGCAAGCCAGGTCACTCTGGTCTTGTGGGCACTGCTTCTCCTCCTTGCCCAGTTTCTTCTGGTCTATATTATGCACAGCAGCTGTGACTCATTAGAAACAAAGCCCCAACTCTGTACAGACACCACCTCCCCCAGGGAGTGCTTAATCATTACACGATACACTTTAACAATAATCAGAAAAGCCCCAAGGGACATGTTAACTGCTAATCAAATATTTCCTTTCTACTAAAGAGTTCTTTGAAACCTCTTCCTGCCCCCTCACTCCTGCAGCCTCCCCCTGTGAGGGAGACTGAACCATAAATAAACAGGCAGGAGGGCAGTGGAATTATATGATGTAACTTGAACCCACGCCCTCCCAGGAATCTTAGGCCTCCTGAGGTGTGTTTGAGGCCTCTTTCAGGTCTGAAGTCTTCTTGCTTAGCTGGTACATAGTGCCTGCGGTTAGAAGAGAAATCCAAAGCTTCCAACCCAGGTCACTGCTCACTGGAGGGGAAACAGGGTGGAAGACTGGCTTTGTGTTTACGCCCATCTGGATACCCCTAGCTGTGTCCTAGAAGTCTTAAACCTGATAACAGGTGCTCCTTTGCTCCCCCACAAGGAAAATCTTGGCCTCAGAAGTGAGGGAACTTGGGAAAGGCTTGAAGGTGAAAAGGATTTCCTGTTCACAGAAACGGAGTGACATTGACCTGATTTATTTTTAAATTTAAGTTACCAGATAACATCAGATGTATTTCTCATGTACAGCATGATGTTTTGAATTATGTATACATTGGGAAGTGATTAAATCTAAGTAACAATTGCTTTACCTTGCTCAGTTATCATTTTTGCGGTGTGACCATTTTACATCCACTCTCTGTATTTTTCAAGAATACAATAAGTCATCTTTAACTCTAGTCACCTTTTTGTACAATGGATACCATGAATGTGACCTGAATTTTTAAAAACAGAGCAGAAACTGTTGGCTGGCCAGCCTGATTCAGTAGCCACTTTCTTTAAAAGATTCATAGGTAATTAATTAGTGCACAGCTTAGATCACAAACTTGCAAATGTCTCACTGTCTGGTACAAACACCCACAGATTTACGAATTCCATTTGACAAATGTTTATGGAGCACCTGAGCGAGTAGAAGGGTCTGCTGTGCTGGGTAAGAGATTGGAAGATGAATGAGGGCGATTTCACCCCTCCCAGAGGCCAAAATCTAATGAGGGATGTGGAACATAGACACAACAAAGGACAGGGCATGCCCGCAGGGCCAGAACTATGTAGCAGGCACAGAGTTAAGACATTAGCTGACTCATTTAATACCCGGGAAAATCTTATGAAGGTACGATTATCATTCCCATTACAACGATAAAGAGATTGAGGCTCTAAGTCACCAATCGGCAAGACACAAATCCAGATGGCCAATAGAGTTTAAGCTTTAGAGTCTGTCTTTTTTTTTTTCTTTAGGTTTTTGCCAATAGGGTATGTGTGCTTACCAGACAGAGTCTGTCTTTAACCTCTAAAATAAAACTGCATCTATATAGTGAAAACAAACAAACAAAAAACACTGCTGTTGGAACACAGAGGAAAAGGCAATTAATTGTAATGACTAAGAGAAAAACCTCACTAATACTTATAGATCATGATTTTTGACATGAACCATTTTTTAGTTGTTTTAACTCGAACGAGCGATTTTATTTTTCTGAGAATTAACGAGATAATACTTGCATAATACTTAATGCAATGCTTGGCATGTAACAAGCATTCTGAAATCA